AACATGGGAGAAGTCATTAGCAGCAAAAAAAAACATCGTTGACCTAATCGCATTACTTTTTATTTGATTCAAAAAAAAAAGCAGTCACGCTATCGTACTTTGAAGTAGCCTCCTTTAAAAAAAAAATTAGTATCGGTCAGGGAATTTATGACCGATACTAATAAAAAAAAAAAAGGAGGCTAACTTTGAAGAGATCATAGCCTGCGATAAAAAAAAATCATTTTGGGTTTTGGTTATGTCATGTACTTTTAGATAAAAAAAAAGTATTTTCGTGTTGATCTTCTCTATTTCACTATCAATCAAATATTTTACACTTGGGAGTAGTCCTACTTCCAAAGTTCCAGAAAAAAAAAAATCGTAAGTGTATTTGAGGACATTTTTACTAGTGACCTTCAGAGACGTGACCGTACTCGGTCAAGTTTATGTTAATGTTAAGTAAAAAAAAAAACTGTCCAAGTTATGTTGATTCTCATTAAGATATACTAAAAAAAAACTCTAAGAGCAAATTAAACGATATTTCAGAAAAACGAAAAAAAAAAGAAATTCTACACAATTTGTATCTATCAACTAAACTATAAAAAAAAAGTTTTTCATAAACTGAGTCGCACGCGGATCGAAAATGAAAAAAAAACCTCAACACGATGAATAACTTGACTCAAAGTCACTCCAAAAAAAAATTTCTTCAAAGAAAATTGGATGACCAAATCTTTGGTGAAAAAAAAAATGGTCTCTTGGTCCTCGGCCTAAGGGAAATAATGTAAAAAAAAAAGTAATAAATTCAAGTAAAGTGTACAAAAAACGTATGAAAAAAAAAAGAATTGGCAATTGTTGAGTCGACATTTTTCGACATACAAAAAAAAATTGTTCGGTCTTCGAGTTCATCCTTTAAAAGCGATTTAAAAAAAAAGCGTTCCGTACCAGATGAGGTTCAGTGAAGAATGAAGAAAAAAAAAAATAAATTTGGTTTTATTAGATTATTTATTAAATTTCAAAAAAAAAACTCTAAAAACATCTAAGTATTTATTAGTGTCACAAGAAAAAAAAATGATTGGTTGAGCTGGGCACAGACCAATAATTACTTGACCTAATTAGCCTGGGACTGACTATGACATCACAAAAACAACGCCCAAAAAAAAAAKTACCTTTGTAAAGTATAACAGGGACGAAAACAATCAAAAAAAAAAATTCACGCAACCCAGTGGAAAAAATATCGACATTTTAAAAAAAAAATATTATGTCTAAGCTTTGAATATGTTCACGTGACAAAAAAAAAAACGATTGGACGAAACTCAATAAAATTGTTTGTACTTGAATACAGAGTCGGGGATTTCCGCGATTTGACCGGCATTGAAAATGAGAAAAAAAAAGACAAAAGAAAACAATGCAGATTTAGACTGTCATACCAAAAAAAAAGTCTTATTGATATTATTTTAGGGTCAAATATAACAAGAAAAAAAAAGCGGTTGCACGTTTCAATCTTAAACTTCAGATTACAAAAAAAAAAAATTGCAAGTCGACACAAATGTATGGACTTATATGAATAAAAAAAAAGTGAAACCTGCGTTTTATTGTTCTATATGTAAAATTTAAAAAAAAAGTAATTAAGATAACACTATAAAATTACATAAAGTAGAAAAAAAAAACATAAAATCCATAAAATTAAAACCCGCACTAAACTATAAAAAAAAAGTCTCACTGCAAGTTAGAAAAGGAAGGAAATTTAGCAAAAAAAAAAGTGCCATTTTCATTCGAAACAGTGGTGGCTATTGTGGAAAAAAAAAACCCGTTTTTGCACCTCAAGTGAGACAAGTAAACATTAAAAAAAAAGCAAAGAAGTGAAAAATTTCGATTCTGTTTCGCTGCGAAAAAAAAACCACTTGAGTTTTGATCATTTTCTGACGCAATTTTCAAAAAAAAAATGCGTACAGAACCATAGAAAAGCGATTTCGATTTGTTAAATAGTGCTCAGTTTTGTCTTTTAAAACTGTTAACGCTTTGCTAAAAAAAAAAACGCTTTTCAACAGCATTTAACGGCCATCAACAGAAAAAAAAAAAAAATGTAAAGCGTTACTTTAAGCCTTTTCTCATCGAGAAAAAAAAAAATCATGAATGGATAATTCATAGTGCAACTCACAGCATAGAAGAGAGCCTACTACGTTACTACCATTGTATAAAGAAACCTTACCAAAAAAAAATTCTTTTACGTTAAGATAATTTGAAGGAATTTTGGAAAAAAAAAAACCCCCCCCCCCCCCATCAATATCTTCGGAACCAATAGAAAAAAAAACATGAAATTTTTACACAATGGTCGCCCACGTAAAACAAAAAAAAAAACCCAGTYTTGACCCGTGGGAACCAAAAGTGACGTCAAAAAAAAAACATTTACACCATTTTAACGATTTATAATTCATTTTAAAAAAAAAAATACAATTCGATAGAGAATGCTGTAATATCATCTGTTTAAAAAAAAAATGACATGAAAATAATATTTTTGTATTCTTTAATTGAAAAAAAAAAATATGACGTCACAATGACGTGATAGATATCAGGTAATTGTTATATATCTATATCTAGATAACCAGTTAAATATCATATTTAGGAAAAAAAAATCTTCTGTGATGTTGTTGTTCGTTTTGTATCCATGGTAAAAAAAAAGACGTCATAATTGTGATGACATCATTTCCTATAGTGTAAAAAAAAATAAGAATTGTATGTCATTCGTGCGGGATCCCTGTGCTAAAAAAAAATGGGCTTCCTTTAGCGAATCCATTCCATATATGGGAAAAAAAAAAATTAAATGGCCGATTGTTGAAAAGTGTTTTCGCTATAAAAAAAAAAAGTTTCAGACGATTTCATGCTTTAAAAGTTGAGAAAATAAAAAAAAAACATTCTTATCGTACTTCCAAATAAGGTAAGATTACCATATATGGCTGCTAAACGAAGGACAACTTTTGTGGGGAAATTCTTTAAAAAAAAACGTCTTTTAATAATTTGACTCCAAATCTCACTTTCTTAAAAAAAAATCGCTATTTTATGGTAAAATTTACAATTTGAGGAGTTAAAAAAAAAAAACAATTTGGAACAAGCAATTTTGAGAAGAATATCCGCCATTTTAGGATCCGCCATCTTGGACCGCCATCTTGAATTTTCTAAAATGCCATTAAAAAACTAAGCATTGAGGAAAACAGCTCAGAATGTAAAAAAAAATTCTCAAACTAACATKTAATGAATAAAAAATTGAGTTAAAAAAAAAACAGGATGATTTTAATGAAATTTTCTTCCTTGTGAAAAAAAAAAAAAAAACTACCCACCCCTCCCCCCAAAGTTTTTGTTCTCAAAAAAAAATTATGGTATTGTAGAGTCAGCAATTGGAGCAAGCTCAAAAAAAAAAAAGATGCATAATAAAATAAGAAATAAGCTTTAAAAATAAAAAAAAATAAGCATATTTTACATTTTTGAAAACCTATGCGTCAAAAAAAAAAAGCCATGGCGACATGGATGACGTTATCAACAAAACAAAAAAAAAAAAATCTGCCTAGATAAATTTTAGGAAAAGTCCGAAAGTTAAAAAAAAACGTCTGTCTTGGTTCGAAAGTTATTGGCTTTTTATGCAAAAAAAAACCCCTCTYCCAGTCTGAATAGGGTTAAGATAAAAACAACGCTTAATTTGTAAAATTAATGCTAAAGATAAAGAATTATTTTTTAAAAAAAAAAAATAGAAAATGTGGGTTTTGATCGAGATATCAAAAAAAAAAAAAAAATAAAATTTGTACATGTTAAGACTGTTTGTATTTTAAAAAAAAAACTACGATGTTGCATGATAAAGAAATTGAGTCGTCTCTAAAAAAAAAAAAAAAAAAAAAAAAAAAAAAATTAAAGGAACGTTTCAAAAAAAAATGCGATCTTCTTCACTGCACCGGGGAGCAGAAGTACTAAAAAAAAATTTCCAAGAATTTTTTCCTACTCACTTGCTACTCACGAAAAAAAAATGATGAAAATAGATGGAAAAAGTGACTGAATACTTGTAAAAAAAAATGAGTGATGAATAATCCAGTTTCGAATTCTTCAATTCAAAAAAAAAGCCTCACTTGTGCGMAAAATATTTCTAATTGTGAGAAAAAAAAAAAAAGATTTCAAATCAAATTCTATTGTCTTACTTTTCAAAAAAAAAAAGTTTTCTCGGGCTATCAATGAAGCATAATGTGAAGACAAAAAAAAACAGAACTCGAAATTGAAGTATTGTCTGTGTGAGTGATAAAAAAAAAAKGAATATGCATCAGGAGAGGGGAAAGAGTAAAAACAAAAAAAAAAGCAGGCAATAAAAGAATATGGTGTATTTGTAAATGGGAAAAAAAAAAGAAAAAAAAGGAAAAGGAAAAGGAAAAAAGTTACAAAAAAAAAAAGAGAAGTAGCTAAACAATTGAATAGATAGCCAGATGGAAAAAAAAATTAATGTATGGATACAAAAAGAAGAATAAACACCCAAAAAAAAAAATGAMAATAGAATGGAAAGTTGATGTACAAGATAGAAAAAAAAAAAAGAAGAAAGATCCGTGGAAAAAAGTTGAGGGATAGATAAAAAAAAAAATAAAATAGATAAATAAAACAGGGAATAAAGTAAAGAAAAAAAAAATTAGAAATGTTGATCGTTTTCAACCATTCACATGAGAAAAAAAAAATAAAAGGCCAAGATGGCCACAGTGACGTAAGTTGAGAAAAAAAAAATAAAGATCTATCGTGATTTCAACGCTATTGATATTGAAAAAAAAAAGATTTGAATACAAAGATATGTTATAGAGCAATTACATTCACGTCTATAGCTAACATCCCCAAATCAATCTTAGTAAATTATAAAAAAAAAAAAATGTTTTTTCTTTAAAAAACTCAAAAATTGCATGCTAAAAAAAAATTTGGTTAAATTACAGCATTCTGTTAAGTGCATTCATAAAAAAAAACAGGTCTGTCTGAAGTTCTTTTCCAAATCTGCTCAAGAAAAAAAAATTCTCAATCACGTCAATTGACTGAGTGAAAGCATTGTAGCGCACACTGAAAGGACGGGGAATTTGAGCAGCAAATGACCTGTTAAAAAAAAATTATATATTAGCATATTTCTCCACTTCTATATTCATCAAAAAAAAATTCACTGCACTGACTTGTCCTTTGATAAAATGCCTACTGCTTACAAATATTGCCTTTCTTTTCACAACCAAGGAYAAAGTCTCAAAAAAAAATTTCTCACCGGAAACAAAATGTCTCCTTGGTCTTTATAAAAAAAAATGTCGAGCGAGAAAAAACTGGTATCGACGGATTAGATAAAAAAAAAGCTTTTCCTTCTTTTCTAATCCCTTTCCCCATTCAGAAAAAAAAAAAGCCTGATTAGCGCTAGTCCTGTGTGGGCTAAGTCTTAAAAAAAAAATCGAGTTAGCCCCGTTTTAACGCTAATCGGGCTACGAACAATCGGGCCCAGCAGAAATCCCGCTAAGTCCATGCGAATAAGGAAAAAAAAATTATGTACAAATCATTATGTTGTAAGCTTACGTACTTGAGTTTCTCGCGAGCAGACTTGAAACTTTCAGCGACGAAGTATTTGAAAAAAAAATTGGTTATAGGATACTCAGTGTTTGCTGTAACTTCAGAAAAAAAAATCTCTTTGACCGGTTTATCAGTCAGACAGTACTATACAAAAAAAAAATCAGTTTCATTTGACAGTGGAAATATAGTTCTAGTGAAAAAAAAATTGTGCCAATCATTAAAAGTGCGTTTTGCATTAATATAAAAAAAAAGGCAATAAATCCGGACATTCCGGACGATTCTAATATTAAAAAAAAAAATTCATAGCGAAAAACTGCTGCTTTATTTGACAACAAAAAAAAAAGCGCAAAGTCCTGACTAAACACAAAAATGAGCACGGGAAAAAAAAATATGACAATAGCCTTGAAAATATTTGAAATTTTCCCGAAAAAAAAACCATGTATTCCCATAAGACCTATTTATGAGCCTTCTGAAAAAAAAAGGTC